GAACACATTTGAAGCCATGGTTACCTAGCGTGACATTTGTTCCGCTTGCACGAGCATTCGAAAGAGTAGGTGTATACTTATACAACCGAGTCCTTAGCCGAACTAATATTGGTTTATATGATAAACGCTGGAATCCGAGGATTCACGGCCCTTATTGCCACTGGCGTTATTACGGCCCGCGTAAGCTTTTGAACTTACTAAAGTTTTTCACAGATGATATCATCAATTTTTGCAATGCCTGAACCAATAGTCGTTTCGGAATTTTGTGTACAGATTGTTATTATCGCTTCTTCTTCACTGTGATGAAGGTTTGAAGAGTCCCAGTTCTATTTAGCTGGGAGTACGTGGGTGCTATTGCAGTTAGGAGTGTCCGCTCCTAAGTAAGTTTTTTTTGGTCGTCAACCTTTTTTTATATACGAGGTTTCTGACCGGGGCTGATTCATCCGTGAAAGTTTCAGACTGTCCACCAAGTTCTTGCTAAATTTGTAATGGTCTGATGCTAAAATTTCGCTGTAATCCATTGCCACTGCATAAGAGCTTTTTTATATCACTGGGCGGTGTAATGGTTAGCAAGTGCATTTTACATCTGCAGTTCTGAGAATCTGAAAAGGGTTCAAATCTCCTCGAAATGCAGTTCCTCTACTTCCACTTCTTAAATTTGTTGACTGTTTTCTAGTCTGCTCAAAAATACTTTCTTAATCACGCTATTTTCGTTGTGTACTTAGAACTCAATGAATGGCTGTAGGTCAGTTTATTTTATAGAAGTATCTGGATCTGCCTTCACTCCTTTATAAACCTCTCTAGCGGACTCCTAATTGAAAGAAGTAATCAGAACGTGAAAAGAGTGATTTTAAAAAAAAATCAACAAAAATGAAGAATAAAGCGACTACAGAATACGAATGATGCAATATGGTCAAATCAGGGTAATAGAAAACAAAGTAGGTTAAGGGTAAGCTCTTAGGGTTTTGCAGCCCATGTTTTCTCTTTGTTTTTCACACACTGAGAAACTGTCAGAGGTTTGAGAATGGTAAAGGCAGAGTTATATACAACATAAATCCACCTAGCATCATTTGTTGAGTTCTCTTTACACAATTTAAAGACAGTGATTAAATTGGTATTTGAGCAGGTAAGAAAAATTTCCATAAAACATGAGACCCGTAAGCAGAAAAATTGACTGGGCTGTGGATCTGAATCTCATCTAGATTTGCATATCGCGACTGAAAAGTGCATACGCTGGTCATTACGCCATCCGCTAACGTGGAAGAGGCGTTGCGAACTGGCGAAAGGATTAAGGCGACATTATGGTATTAGACTGTTAGGAAAATGGTAAAAATTAAGTAGACAATTTTGAAACTACCACGGATAAATTTGGCAGTGTTGATAGTTTTATGTATAAAAAACGTAGTCAGGTTGACGAGAAAAAAAGCATATTTTTGAGTGGGCACTTTTAACTGGATTAGCCCCAAATACATCTTGGTGTCCCTTGAAGTTTCCTTTTTCTCCCCTTGCAGGGAGTCAACTTTTTTTTTTCAAAAGTTTTATATTCTGTTACTGTAAATTATTGCATTGAAATGAAAGGTTTTCTAATGTACCGTAGTGACGTACTAGGCAAATAGGGTGAGCTTGAACAACGAATTAGGGAGATTAGAAGTTTTGGCGGCTTGGTCAGGAAAGCTAGGTATCAACAAGTGAAGAAATTGGATGTTGTTAGGGTTCTGACGTCGTCTACTCACTATTTACATTATTTAAATTTGCTTCTTGCCCTTTTGAAATACTTTTTTATTTAGTTTACGTCTTGTAAACTACCTCATACTCTTACAGTTCTATTGTCTCTTTATTTGGAGAGTAGAAGTTTCTAAACTTGCAAGATTTTAGAGGACAGGAAAAGGGCTGGATTTCAATTCTCTTCGAGATGGCGTTGTCGTAAAAGCCGTTTAGGGTGCCCTGACTTTAAGTTTGGAGATGAGATAAAATTACAGAAAAGGGGCTAGTGAGTGGAAGATTTTATTGCGCTCTTCGTTGTTTTCCCGTAGAGGCTGAAAAAAGAGCAAAAAATCTGAAAATTTTTGATTTTTTGCTTTTGTTTCTTTTCTCTGTCGGTTCCCGCAGTTTATCTTTCAGGGTTAAGCACCTGTTTTTTCCTCAGCGCCGCCTAGGGAGGAGTGGAAATCTTTTTTAAAAGGAAAGAACTATTACCTTGCTTTGTGGAGCTAGTGCCGATGATATTAATTTATGCTTTTCGAATTTTTAGGTGACACCAAACTGATGGACGTGAAACTGAATGAATTACTGGCATGGTTTGGCAGGCGAGACAAAACTCCAATAGCTATGTGGAGGGAGTTCCAAAGAAATTTGTTTCGTGTGCATTATCTTTACTATGCAGGGCCTGTTTATGGTAGCGTGGTAAGCTCTTGTCCGTTTAGTTTGTAATTCTGAAAATCTGTTCTTGAGTGTACTTTTCCCTTCTTTTTCCAATTTTTGAAAAGAAAGACTCCACTCTGTTAAGCTGAAGTTTGTTCCAAGCAGCCGGTTTTTCCTCGGTTGATTTCTTTGGTTTTGGTAGCATAAGTCTTTTCGCGCGCATTACTTTCGTCACTGGTTGTCATAAAGTAATGCGAGATTGTCTGGTATTTTGTGCTTTTCCTAGCAAATTTGTGGTTTGTTTGCTTTATTTCGTTCAAACTGGTATTGGTTGGGAAGCGTAAAGTTATCGGAATTTTTTTTTTCTTCAGCATTCATTTTCGTTCCAAGCTGAATCTATAGGCTTTAAAAATGCGGTATGAGGGGTGGAGGGTTTCCTGAGTTTTTTGAAAGCAGGTGAAGGAGACGGACCGGTTTTTTTTGTCATCAGCTTCTGGAAGCAAATAGTTTGGGAGTCATTATTGCTGTAGACATTTTGTAGAAGGTATTGCAAGCGAAAAGAGTCGAAGAAAAATGATTTTAAAAAAGTGCTTCTTGAGGTAGTAGAGTGGAAATTTTTCGTTTTTTTTTTTTTTTTTTTTTTTTTTTTTTT